TTTGAGGAATACAATTCTGGCTGCACTTGACATTATAAAATTCTCGACTTGTAGTAACTTTTCGTAACTTTGGAATTTATGTATTACCATAGAACGTCACCTTTTTGACTCAATTTTTTAAACATTTATCTACATTGCGTTCACTTGAACCATTTTGTACTAACCAGTACTGGAATAAAGTTTTAATTTGGGAAATAAATGCATGTCTACGAAAGTTAGTGGCAGACGGACAACACGGATACGTAGGCCTAAAATCGACCTAGGAAGTCTGCATGCGATTCCTCCATGATTCAATTGCAGACGGGTTTATATTTTCTTGGCTGATGAATCAGACATGCAATCCTTTTGGAAAATGGAAGTTACTATATACTATGTTTGTATATATTTACGTGAATAACCTGCCATTATCATGACAACCACCCCCAGATAACCCCCCATGATAACCCCCCATGATAGCCACCCCCAGATAACCCCCCATGATAGCCACCCCCAGATAACCACTCATGATAACCCCCCCAGATAACCACCCATGACAACCACCTATGACAATCACCCCCAGATAACCCCCCATGATAACTACCCCCAGATAACCCCCCATGATAACCCCCCATGATAGCCACCCCCAGATAACCATCCATGATAACCACCCCCAGATAATTCATTGGTAAAGTGTGCACTGGAAAGCACTACACACTTTTGTGTCTTGTCACCAATTCCAAAAAGTGGTTGTCAGACAGTGGTTATCTGGGGGTAGTTATCATGCAGTGGTTATCTGGGGGTGGCTGTCATGCAGTGGTGATCTGGGGGTGGCTGTCAGACAGTGGTGATCTGGGGGTAGTTATCATGCAGTGGTTATCTGGGGGTGGCTGTCATGCAGTGGTGATCTGGGGGTGGCTGTCAGACAGTGGTGATCTGGGGGTAGTTATCATGCAGTGGTTATCTGGGGGTGGCAGATGGTGCCCATTTGGGTGAATTTATATTTTTAAATAAGAATTTAAATTTGAATTTTCGCGCCATTCGAAACTTAACTTTCTCCACTTTCACTTCGGTCACGGAAAATTACTTTCACTTCCGTTGCAGACAAGCATTTCCAGTTTATAATATAGATATGTATATTAATTGTTAATCAATTTTACCCCGATCGGATAATCTTCGTCATCACAAGAATTTATAGGTGTTGCAAATTGTAGCGAAGTTTTACCTACCTCTTCCACCGCATCGAGCCACGTCCAGTCCTTATGAGATCAATTTTTGGCGTCAAAAATCCAAGTCCAATTTAGTCCTTGCCTAAAAGTGCCTCGTTACAGAAAACATGGTCACGAACATACAGTTGCATAAATGTACATATATACATACATATCTTTGTAATTGTAAATAAGTATGTGTCTGCGAGTAGTGTTTCAAATTACAGATCAGTGGTGTATTGTCAAACAAACTTTATTTTATTGTAGCGCACAGTACTTATTTACTTTTAACATGTTAATGTTGTATGAAGAATAAATAATACGGCGTAGTTTGTCATAACCTATGTATGTATGTACGTTTATATTTACCTAATGACATATTCATGCCGTTAAATTCTGATTGTGCATATAAACTGTTCAATCGTGGGATCCATTTATCGTCATATTACTAATTAAGACGCCGTCTATAAATTACGTAACGCAAGAGTGGGGTCTTAGGCTCCAATGATATCGTGCCTATGTTACGCATGTTAAAGTAGGGAGGGGGGGGGTCTAAAAAATCGAGATTTTTGTGTTACGTAATCAATGTACCGCCCCTAAGCAATTAGATACATATCTAGTTGAAGTAAATATTGATTTGATTAACCCATAAACTTGTGTGTCCTTGTAATTGTGCTATACTACATACATACATACGTTGTGTTGTATTTATAGTTAAGCAGCATTTAAAAATATCTTTTATGCATGGTTGCAGAAATCTCATCTCACCCTCGTAAATCTCATCTCACTGAGATATAATGAGAAATAGTGAGACATGAGAAATACGAGATTTAGTGAGATTTATGAGCCATGCACTAGCGCCACCTAGCGGACGTGGTCATGAACTACAAGTTTATCTCATTATTTCTCATATTTCTCACTCAGCCCCAAGTGAGATGATTGATATATATCATTAAATCTCACTAAATCTCACTCAGTGATATATATCACTTATAACCCTGCTTTTATGGCTTGTTAAACACGCTCCTTTGTTCAATTACACAATGCAAAAATGATTGCACAACATCTTTTCCTAGTGCCACGCACGGATTCGTTTGTTAACTACCTGCAACCCATGCATAATCAAGTTACATACATATATTCCGCCTTGATTCCCGGTGACAACAAAGCTCGCGCAAGGCCAATAGTCCAGACGAGAAATAAAGAAATACAAGGATATATCCAAACATAATAAAATTTCTCAGTCCAACAACATCGTTTTCAAATTCTGGCGACTTCTTCGGCGGCCAGTGAATAAGTGCTCGGTGCAAATCAGTTCCAAGGTAGGACTTATTGGTGTAAAAGCTACTTGGATGTAGTAGCCCCCGATCAGAAAAACGGTGCTGCCACCAGTAATATATCCCAGATTCTTGCAAGCCTTTAAACCCAGGAGATAAGATTCTACCAACCAAAGTGCTGCTTGCAATGTACAAATATCTTGCAGTATATATACCCGAACTCCAGTATGAAATAGGGAAATATGCATTATTAATTGCCAAAAGTTTAATTAGGGCGTCGCATGCAACCTCTTCGTCCATTAGCACAAAAATTTCAGGATTTGGCTTGTACCCATTGTGAGTCTTTATCGGGTGCTTGTTGCTAACATTAAATGCGAAATCATACCACGAGGATAGTAAAAAGTTTGTGCGATCGTTTATATTTTTAAGGATGTTGTAAATGTTTGAATTATTAACATCCACGATTAGTCGCGTTTCAATTTCGTCTGTGAGAAAAGAGGTAAACTCTTTTGTAGGATATGTAAAACTATGGACTTCCCTTCCTGTGGTTACAATTGGGATAGAGGAAAATGCGATGCTATTTAAATCGCTAATCATATCTGGTAAAATCTTGTAATTTCGAATTTTTTCAATACATACCCTTGGTCAGAAAATCTTCGAAAATATTGAAAATTTCAAAAAAGTTGAGTCTGCTATTGGATATGATAGAGCAACTATCTGGGATCACAAAAATGTAAATTTTTTGAAAATCTGACCAAAACTCGATTTTTGGCGAGGATTTTAGTGCGGCAACTCTGGGGGTTTGGGCGCCTTTGAGGGGGTGTGGCGGGCGTAAATGGGCTCATGGAGTCTAACCCTCCTTCACTTTTTCTACACTCATGTAGTACTACAACATATCTAAAGGAGATCGAAATCGGGGCCCGACAAGTAGTGACCTTCTACTCCTAAATATGTAAAGTCATCCTCACTTTTAGGGACAGTGCACTACGCATGTCGTCCATTTAGGTTGGACTGATTAAGTCAAAGCGATACAAGACATCTTTCTAATGGAAATTACATTATGTATGGAAAAGCTTATTATTTATGCGGGGATAAACTCACCCTATCCTTAATGCACGGACCCCAGTGCGACTTGTTTTTGCACAGGTTAGCACTGACGTCTGTCGTTGTACGGCACAACAACAAACACAAAAACAACGTTTTAAATTGCAAATTAATCTGGATGTGTAATTCGCTAGGGTATCGTGCGTAAAATATTTTTTGAAACTATATACATATTCCCCTTCGCAGTGTTCTATGTAATTAATTTCAAAAAGAAGGATAGGAAAGTGCATTTTCATTCGGAACAGTCCAAAACGGATGAAATCCTTTATGCACGGTCCCCTCGTTACGATTTGATTGCTCGTCACAAACACTCTTATTTTCCGAGAAGGACAGTTTTTCAGGGTAAAAGCGTGCGTAATTGACATTTTCGACGTATTTATAAGGTACCCGAAGATGGGTAGCCTCGGTATAAAAAGAATTTCCACCATGAAATGAAAATCATAAGCAATTCAATTTTATATTTACAGGTTCAAGGAAACTTTGCGGTGGAAATCATACTTTTTTTAAAGAAATCGAAATACTAAGGTACCCATTTTTATAATATACGTAGTTTAAACATTCACAGAATTCTACCGCTTAACAGATATTATCCTTTTTCAATATTTTTTGCTGAAGCATAAATTCGTAATGTTTCTGAATAGGTGATGTTCTTTATTTGAGATTTTTTCATAATTCAAAATTGGCGAGCAATATTTTTCCGTTGAATGAATTTCCGTATTTTGGTCACATGTGGAAGAAATTTTATATCTTTATTCACCTAAAGTAAAACAAAAAATTCTACTATTTCCGGGTTTTTGGCTTGATGCAAAACATTCAAAAACTAAAAAATATAGAATTCCTTTTGTGAAAAATCATTTTTGTTATTTTCAGAAATGCAGTCGTCTCGAATTCTTCTCCTTTGTGCCATTGCCCTCGTGGTCGTCGTGTCCGTAACGGAGAGTCAAATCGGGAGCACGGGGTGCAGTCGGAAGTGGGCGCCGGCTGGGTGGTGTTGGCGCTACTGTTCGGGATCTTCGGGGAGCTGGTGTTACACGGGGAAACAGGGGCCATGTGAGACGGCCTCTTGCACGGGGGGATCCTGCTCTGGAATTAGTTGTCAGGGTGCCGCTGCCGGATGTGTCGGCTATTGTTGATAGTAACTCCCGCCATTTATATTATAAGCTGGAAATGTCTGTCTGCAACTGAAGTGAAAGTAATTTTCCATGACGGAAGTGAAAATAGAGAAAGTTGAGTTTCAAATGGCGCGAAAATTCAAAATAAATTCAAGATTAAAAAATTAAGTCTGTCATTTCCGTTCCTTACAAATATTTGTATCTTATAATTGTCCCTCACTCGGCGGGAGACGGGATTATACACTAGTTTGTATAAATTTAGATTCATTGACGTTTTGCCAATTTAACCGTGACCAATTTTTAACAAATATGCCAATTTAATACTTATTTGATAACACATTTATTAATAAAGTTCATTCATAAGACGAATAATTTTAAAAGGTAGAGCTGTCAAGTATTTTTTTTGTATTCTAGCAATATTAATAAACCATTATCGTCTACGAAACAAACATATTTTGAAATGGATGAAGTGAACATAAGTGTTAAGTCAAAATGGTCCAATTCCCTCATGGAAGACCTTTGCATAACTGGAAAATAAAATATAAAAAAGAGAATTATTCATGAAATTAGTGCATAAAAGCTTGAAATCAATACTGGATTACATACATCGGCAAATCGTTTCGTAAGACATTTGGTAAAGGGCTCGTATTCCTTGCAGTCTGGATCTACCCCAATGTTTGTCCCTGTTGTAAAAATCAAAATCACACATACATGTAAGTGTACACTCTTAAAAATAGTTTTACATTTTTATAGTCTGAATTTTATATTTAGTAAACTATAATGGATCCAGGGTAAACTTTACTCCTCATCGACTTAATTTTACCCTGGATTTAGTTTGCTTTACTTAATATAAAATTCGGACTGGATTTACTGTTCGAAATGGTAACACAATTTTTAAGAGTATGTAATCAGACTCAATAAATTACTATGCGAGTTATTATTTATTCGTTACCTTCAAAGAGCTCAAAGCAGGGAAAAAATGTTTCATTGGATCGTACAACCAGGGATGGTGGAAAGTGATCGATGAGATAAGAATTGTAATTTGTGATTGAAAGGTGACCATCCTCCTGAATTAAGCCTTCCTTTGTCAAAACGCATTTCATCGTGCACTGGAAATAAATGTTAACAAATTTTAATGTTTTAAATAAATCTTACATGAATTATTTGAAAGTACAAAATAGAATATACAATTTATTCTATCTCCATACACTCTAAAAAAATGAAGAGTAAATGCAATCTAAATTCTAAATTTGTTCGGTATGTAAATGAAACTAAATTCAGATTAACGCAAACCTGATAAAGCCCAAACTTTTCTCTAGGCTTCGTGAAATTTACTTAATTTAGAATTTAGATTACATTTACATTTTCAAAAGGATAACATTATTTTTAAGAGTGTAAATGTACCGTTGATTTTTGCGTCTTTTCTCTCCCACCCTTCCATCCCAGTTCTTTCGTACAGACTCCGATCTGTCTCAGCTCCAGTTTATTAAGGTCGGTCCAAACCGTTCGGCATTTCCGTTCTGGGGGTGGCTCGGTGGAGACAATCTGATAAAAAAAATTCGAAATTTGTATGCATGCCCTTGTAATTAGTCAAGATTTTGAAATTAGCACATTACAAATATTTTTACCTACCGAAATTGCAAAAACCAAAACCACAGTCAACTTGAGATTCGTCATTTTAAAGATTTTAATTATTTCGTCAAAATTATTAAGAGATACACCTGCACAACTTGAGCTACGCTGACCAAGTGCTTCTGCTGCAATGAAGAATCTCCTTGAATAGTTTGCGCATTATATAATTTTTGCAGTGGGGTAGGTCTACTGGAGTGGATTTATGTAACAGGTTTAGATTGACTGCAAGCAAGATATGAATCTCGTACATATTTATGTATATAAAACTTCCAATGGCCCGACTCAGGCATTTTTCCGACAACATTTTGACATGCATCGCGAAAACTACCGATGCGTATTATAGTTATTGTTTTTTCACGTGCACGAAATTACGCAAATTTTAAAGCATCAAAATCGTTGCATCTCGAAAAAACGAAATTTAATTGTAATAAATACTAATTAGACAGACGGACATCGAGGTTTCATATGCCCTGTTTCGGGAAACTCATAAATGTACAGGAAAATTCCACCTTAAATACAGAAAGGACAAATTGCGTCATTGCTACTAAACTTAAGGTTGATTTGCGTTTGGGTACAAAATATATACGTATTTGCATATTTTTCAGTTAATGAAAAGTACATACTTCTAAACTACCAATGTATTAAAAATATGATTTAGTCACGTATCTACCCCACATTGGTATTGATTCGGTAATAAGTTCCCATCGGATTTAGTAGTAGTTTGCTTCTTACAGTGGGGATTGAAACCGTGTTCACTCCAGATTATTTTTTTGCCATGTTAGAGACTGTGCAGAAAGCATGTGAGTCACATGATGTGACAGGTTGGCACTTGCACAAATGCGAAAAATTCAGCAAGGTTTGTGCAGTCCGCAGTAACGCACAACTTCTTTGTCACAAGCGCAAATTACGCAGCGTATTCGCAAACTTGCGGCGTCAAGAGTGTGCAGAATTTTTCGAATCTGCGCAAGCGCCGCACTAATTTTTTTTTCTAAAGAGTTACCCTTTCGAACTATTTAACCTAGTCAAAAAATATTCTGGGATGAATATGGTTTGCGTCCACATTTTGAATTTTTTACTACTACACGGTAGTGCTTGTTATTAATGGGGGCGATAGAGTCAAATATGTAAATATGTACTCGGGTCAGAAATGATTTAATACCAGTTTTCTAAGAGTGCATGGCTGTCACGTTTTTACAAATAAACCAGTTTTATCAGCCTTTAGTGAGCTTTTCTTTCTAATCTGACGATTTAAGGAGTCGAACTGACCCAACTTCTCCAAGATTATTGTGAAGGTCAGCTCTTATTTCGGCAGCAGAGTTACATACATTGTTAATTCAATCAGTCAATCAATTTATTAAATGACATGTGGCCTTTGGCCCTCATCATACATAGAAAAATATTGCATTACATTTAAGATTTAAGGTATTTCGCTAAAATAATTACATGGGTCGAAAAGTTTAAAAATGTTTACAAATGTGATTAATATATTTGTATAGAATTATGTGTTATTATAGGTAATTCTCGTTATACATACATAGCGTGGAAAGATGTAGACGAACTAGATAAGAATTTGCGTAAGAATTGTTGTACGATAGGTTTAGTTATATTACACTTGAAGAATATTTAAGTGGTGAACAGTGGATACATTGTTAATTTGTAACGAGGGTATGAATTGTCCAGATCTTGCATATTTAAGGAAAATGGGTGAGTGGTTTTGGGTCGCTTATCTTACTCGTGTGAACCCTAAGATGGCTCAGATAAGGAAGAAGTTTTCTAAAACGAAAGCTTTTTGAGTCCGTAATCATTTGCAACAGATTGACGTCTTTTCCTTTTTCAAACATTCATAACCAATATGAAAATTTTAGGCTTCAAAAAGATTTAAAAAAATGACTTTTATAATTTCAACTCTGAACAAAATAGGTGTTTAATTTTTGACAAATTTTTAAAAAACGTGCCGGACAACATTTTAAAAAATCAGAATTTTGGGGTACAAATTTATTTAAAAATCCACCACAACCGAATATATTCTAGGAAACTCGAAAATATGAGTCCGCTTATTTCTGAGCGTGAACAATTTTCAAAATTAGTTATTACATTATTTATTATAAAAATTTACATGGTAAACATGCCTATCGGTGTGAGGAAATGAACAAATTTATCAAGAGAAGCTCTCCGTACACAGAATTACTTAAACAATTTAAGTTAACAAGTACGCTGTAAATTGGACGATGCATCTCACAATACATACCAAAATTTTCCATTTCACTGTCATTGTCAAAAATCAGCAATCAATCATTTTCAATAAACTGCATCACAATTCAAACCATCTACTTGACAGACATGCAGTAAAATATGTAATGCTTACACTTCAAACTCATCATTGGATATGATAATTTAAAAAAATTACACAGCAATTAAATCCACGTGCCGGGATAAATTTTTAAATCCAAAAGGAACATGCCATCCAACTTTTTATTTCGTATAGAGTCATAATCACGTGGAACGTCCATGTATTACGTCATAATAAAAGCGAATATGTGGTTCTGGGTAGCATACCTTGCCTGTGCTGAGCTTAAGGTTCCCATGGATGACGCGTTGGCGCGTAATCTCACTCTGCCCCTATCCAATGTATTTAAATGCAATTTCTAAAATCGGATCAACTCCATGAGTGTTGAGATAAATGCAACTTATGATATTTTAATGTAAAGCTAATTTTTGGTACTATTATCTCAAAACTAATGGAGTTGATCCGATTTTAGAAATTGCATTTAAATACATTGGATAGGGGCAGAGTGAGATTATGCGCCAACGCGTCATCCATGGGAACCTTAACCTGAATAGTGTGGGGAAGGCATGCGTGGGTGGTTAAAAAAATGACATGATTTATGCACGTTCCAGCTCGAAATTATTCCACATACGAGAAATATTTAATGTGCTTAAATTATAATTCAGTTATCCATCATTATGATTCTAGTGGCGAACTCATCTCCAATAAAATGCTTGATTTGTCATTCTTAATCTTCACACATGATCTGAATCTTGGAATTTGCAAATTATAATGGCTCCCATGACTTATCTTTTTCTCGTTTGTTCCTTGATTTTCGCAGTTTCTGGGGCAAGTATAAAAATACTCTAAATTTTTATCAGAATGAAAAACTTATTTACATTTTTAGGGCATTTATTGAAAGTTGGCACTGGGAACTCGTAATGAATATACCTTAGCATGCGAATTTCGTAGTGTAAAATAATTTTGCGAAAAATTCGAGCTATGTATGTAACTACATAGAAAAACATTTTCAGAATTGAATTATCAAGCCAATTTTTTTGTAAACTGTTTGCTCTTTGTTAATTTTACTGACGTAATGAAAACCCATATTATAAAATTAGGCAGACGAAAATTGCAGCCTTACTGAGGAATTGATCAAACTGGGGAAGGATGCCTTTAAGGTTACAGTTTCGACAAGTTTTGGAAAACAATGTTTACCTTTTTAAATTGTTATTGTCAAATTTGACAGATGTTTTTTCCAGACCAACCGTTCCTAACGTGCCTCCTGGTAAAAAAAATTGGAAACTGGTTTCATATTTTTTTTTCAAAATAGCATTTATGCATAAATATTTATATGACGCCTAGGATGGACCGTGTGATCCAGAAAAATTCAAGTTCCCCGAGGTATCTACATACATATGCAAAACTAACTGTTTACATACATACATATTTATACGATTTGGTAGTTTGTCTAAATTACTTTTTGTTAGGCCAAAGCGTGTAAAGCTGCTGTTCGTGATGGTCCCCTTTTAAAGGACTTAAACATAACAGCGTCGGATAGGTTTCTGGAAAATTTTCTATATTCCGGTGGAGTTGACGCGGAGGCAAGTTACTTTCATAAGAAGGACAACCTAATTTCTTCTAGAATTACAGGACCAACAATTTTTGTGTTAATACATATACATATGTAAATTAATAGTGTTATCTTGTATTTAGGAGATCTGTTTGAATCTCAGAACTGAAGGGGATAAACTACTCGCAATGATTAAAAAGGTGCTAATTTTATTCATCGCCAAAATTACTAAAGATTTTTTTACCATTTATCCACCCAACAATATCCAGAATCAAGATGAAGGAGCAGGGTCTTTGATATCCAAACTATGTTTAAAAGACCCAACGAGTTGCCAAAACATGGAGCAGATACCGAAAGAAGTCGAAGATTTTATTTTGGTAAAGGATCCTGTAAAATTATGTAGTGCATCAATATATTTATTAGGCCAACGATTATTTTAACAGAAAAATGTGGGTGCACCGTTCAGGGATTTGATTAAAATTGTCAAGAATATCGCTAAGGTAAGCCATATTTAAAATCAACAAATTTTTTCTACATAAATATTGATTGAGTGCCAATTTATATAATGGTCCAACGGAATTGTACTTTATCCCAACCAAAATTAATTATTCTCCTAATCGTAAAAAGTCAAATCCATTTATTTATAATGCTCAATGATTTACATAGTTGGATTTTCAAGTAAGCAATATAGATTTTTTACAGCGTTTCGGGTGCAAGTAACCACCTGCAAGAAATAACCGCAAGAAATTGGTTTCTTTCAGCTATTTTTACCCGCTAGAAATGCAAAGTGCAAGAAACTCATTCCCGCCGCCATAGTTCTGAAAGCGCGTCGCTAGATGGCGCTGTGTTTCTTGCACTTTCTTGCATTTCTTGCACCTTGCGTTTCTTGTCTTTCTTGCTTTGCAGTGCAAAAAATGAGAAAAACCCGCAAGAAACGAAACACTGATTTATTACAACTATTTTCGCGCACTCCTGAATTTTATTCATGCTTTATTTTAAAGCCCTCAGGAACAAAGAGTGCAATGATTTGGTAGGAGTGTTGTATTATTTTGGTTGGGTTAAAAAATTAAGCCGATTGGAAATACCATTATTTAAGATGTCATTATTTTGGTTAGGGGGAAATAATATTTTTGTTGTTGGGGGTACAAAATAAACCCGTATTTATTAACTGTTAATGTTTTTCATAATTTAGAGCAAATCGGTGCCCTTTGCAACAGCGATGGGTCAAGTAATCGAATCATTCTTTGGAGGAGGACAGCTTGGCAAAAATGTTTCGAAATGTGTCAATGAAATCATTACAATTGCTACGAAAACAGGCAAATCACTTTTAGGCTGACGAGAAATCGAGCCATTTTAGCTTTGAAAACTTGGTAAACGACTCGAATGTTATATCGACGTCCAATTCTTTGTACTTTTAAGTGGTGTTTATGCTTCACGTCACCGTCACGTCCTCATCCAAATCCGAATTTTTGATTGGTTAAAATTTTTAATTGTCGTAGTGATAATTTCACTCAGCCAATCACAAAATCGGATTTGGAGGAGGACGTGACGGTGACGTGAAGCATAAACGCACCTTTAGTACAACCTGCACTGCATAACTAGACACATATGTAAAATAATTAGTAACCAAATTTGTGAAATGATAAAAACTTACAAAGTTCAAGAAACCTGATATCTTCCAAAAATAAATAAATATTTAATTCTCAAATAGAAGTAAACATATTTTATAATAAGTTTCTTTATTGCATCCTCACACTAATTTTGATAAGGTTAGGTAATGAGGAAGTTTGACAAGGGAAATATGTACGTGTTGGGGGGCTGGGTCAAAATACCCTTACTAACGCAGGGTCAAATAACCTCAACATAAATATTGACTTGGTCACACCCCAAAATTTGAATTCTTGGCACACCCAAAAAGGTTGCGTTAGTCAAATAAATTCATAAATTCCAACTCCAATACCGAAATATCGATATTACGTAACGTGTCCTTATTAAAAGGGAAGTTCTTCATGAAAAGCTTTTCTTTCCTTTCAATTTCCACACCACTTCAGTTACTTGATTTTTTTAGTGTGAGGATCTGCGAGTAACTTGATGCACCGTGAGTGCAGACCTGTTGGGATAGCATGTCCCAGTCCAGTGTGCATTACATTTTCTCCAGGACATGAGCAGACTACACAGTTTGCCAACTTTATTACTGACCAGAATTGTATACTCGACTATTGACTACACACATCTTTTCTTTTGAGATATTACTGATTCCACATTAGTGACATGTATGCAGCACATTCATCAGTGAACAAGACTGGTAGCCTACTACCACGTACTTACGTATGCCATTTACTCGGAGCTGTGTAAATCGATAAGTCCAAACTGGCCGTGGGGACGCTCAAATTATACCATTGCTCGTCTCCTTGTTACATACCTTGTCCTGCTGGAGAACCGGTTCCTCCTCCACTAAATAACAATTCCATTCTCTCCACATTTGCATATGGTCATGCTTAGAGAAATATTCAACAAATAGTATGAGACTGGACACACAGCATTTTTATTGCAACTTTTTTTTGCCCAATTCTTCTCATTAAAAGTTGAAGAGTCACTGAGCAAGGACGAAAACGTTGGCTGGATTTCTCTCCCCCGTATTATTGTGGAAACTCTTTGTTTGCACGGACAAGGGGGCCGTACGTAAAGTGCGGGTCTGGATTTTTCCCTAAAATTTTGTCCTGTACACTTCTAAGAATAAGGTTACTTCCTTGAAAAGTAAGCGCATTCTAAAGGGCTGTTCATAAATAATTACGTAATGCGATAGGAGGTAGAGGCTCTAATGATATCGTGCCTATGTTACAAATGTTAAAGCGGGGGGTCTAGAAATTTGTGATTTTTGCGTATATTTCACTTGGGAAGAATTCAACATGTCTATACCCCACCTCAAGTCCGGTACATGATTTTTGCACAAGAAAATCAATTCCCAGGAGTTCGTTGTGAAGTGAAATATGAAGCGAGAAGCATTGTCAAGATCAAGTCAGTCTTGACTTCAAACGTTACCAAGAATGGTGCAAATTTAATGTGTTGTGATTTTCGCCGACATGTGAATTTCTGCTTGTGTATTTATATCAAGAATGGTGCAAAATTAATATGTACATCATTTGCGAATATGTGAATTTCTTCATATAAAATGTAATTTCTTTCACGAAAAGTTTTTTATTATGTATTTGCAAGTCAAGTGTGTTAGTCAACTTTATGTAAATATAAACGACAACCGGGGAAACCTTATTGAGAAATTTTATAAGAATTTTGGAAAAAATGTCAAATCAGAATTTCGCCATGAAACGACGCCGTTATCAGTGGAAAGCTGCCATTTTAGTGCTTATCATGGTCGGAATTTTAAAAGAATTCCGTCCTTCGGCACCATTCCTTGTCGATTATGCCGTCGACCATAAAAACTTCACGGGAGAACAGGTAATTTATTTACATTTTTTAAATTAATTATTAATTGTTTCTTAATTTTCGAATTTTTTAACAATGTTTTCATACCCACGTATTCCATAACCCGGTTATAAATATGTATGCAGGCGTTACAAATTATGTACCCTACCCAATTTTATTATCATGCAATTTTAATGTAGTTAATTCGTTTCACTTAATTTAATTAAGTAGCTAATTATTTAGTGAATTTTAATTTAATTATCCCTTTACTTAAAATTTTAATTAACAATTTTAAAAATTTGAATTTGTGCAAATTTTTATAAAACGTTTCACAATGTATATATTTATATATCCACATACAGCATGAAACGTGAATAAATAAATCTCAATTTTAATAAATTTTAGTCTCTTTCACCTTAAAAACTTCAGAAAGTTACGAAAAGTTGGTACATATATTTAACACTGCAAGAACAGATTAACCTATCACATAATTTTTTAAGTTTCCGAAAATGAAGCGAAGTACGTACAACTAAAATTGAGTTAAAAAAACCTGAACACCTCATTTTTAATTTGTTTTAGATGACCCACGAGGTGCTTCCAGCCACGACGGGGACATCGATAATATCGCTTATCTTCCTCACCATGGTGACGGACGCCTTCTCCTACAAACCCATCATTGTCAACGCGGGGGTGTACAATTGCATCACTTGGGTTATCACAATCTGGGGTTTCTACAGCGTCAATTTGGCACGGGTACCAATCCCATTTATTTTTATGCAAAGCTATTCTTCAAGACATTCCCTCTTAAAAATAATGTTTCCCTTATCTATATTATAATTTCGAAAAGTCCGTCCCGTGAAATTTTCCGTGACATCCCAGCATTCTGATTGGTTGCCAGCTTTCTCAATCCGCCAATCGCAGCACGCATGTATTTTCGGGTACAATTTATGTAGCTTACAACCGATGTTACAATCGATGTTACAATCGATGTTACAATCGATGTTACAACCTGTGTTACAATTTATTTTCAAGCAAATAACTTCGCAACGTAAAACATTAGCTTAGAAACGTACAAAAAATCCATCATCAACGCCTTGAAAATTCCTTCGTAATACAAAATTTCCTTAGCAACGATAAAAAATTCCTTTGCAACGTTAAAAAAAATTCCTTAGCAACGTTAAAAAAATTCCTTAGCAACGTTAAAAAAATTCCTTAGCAGCGATAAAAAATTCCTTAGCAACGTTAAAAAAATTCCACAGCAACGTTAAGAAAATTCCTTAGCAACGATAAAAAATTACTTAGCAACGTTAAAAAAATTCCTTAGCAACGATAAAAAATTCCTCAGCAACGTTAAAAAAATTCCATAGCAACGTTAAGAAAATTCCTTCGCAACGTTAAAAAAAATTCCTTAGCAACGTTAAAAAAATTCCTTAGCAACGTTAAAAAAAATTCCTTAGCAACGTTAAAAAAATTCCTTAGCAACGTTAAAAAAATTCCTTCGCAACGTTAAAAAAAATTCCTTAGCAACGTTAAGAAAATTCCTTAGCAACGTTAAGAAAATTCCTTAGCAACGATAAAAAATTACTTAGCAACGTTAAAAAATTCCTTAGCAACGTTAAGAAAATTCCTTAGCAACGATAAAAAATTACTTAGCAACGTTAAAAAAATTCCTTAGCACCGTTAAAAAAATACCTTAGCAACGTTAAAAAAATTATTTAGCAACGTTAGAAAAATTCCTTAGCAACGTTAAAAAAAATTCCTTAGCAACGATAAAAAATTCCTTAGCAACGTTAAAAAAAATTCCTTAGCAGCGATAAAAAATTCCTTAGCAACGTTAAAAAAATTCCACAGCAACGTTAAGAAAATTCCTTAGCAACGTTAAAAAAATTCCTTAGCAACGTTAAAAAAATTCCTTAGCAGCGATAAAAAATTCCTTAGCAACGTTAAAAAAATTCCACAGCAACGTTAAGAAAATTCCTTAGCAACGTTAAAAAAATTCCTTAGCAACGTTAAGAAAATTCCTTAGCAACGATAAAAAATTACTTAGCAACGTTAAAAAAATTCCTTAGCAACGATAAAAAATTCCTCAGCAACGTTAAAAAAATTCCATAGCAACGTTAAGAAAATTCCTTAGCAACGTTAAAAAAAATTCCTTAGCAACGTTAAAAAAATTCCTTAGCAACGTTAAAAAAATTCCTTCGCAACGTTAAAAAAAATTCCTTCGCAACGTTAAAAAAAATTCCTTAGCAACGTTAAGAAAATTCCTTAGCAACGTTAAGAAAATTCCTTAGCAACGTTAAAAAATTCCTTAGCAACGTTAAGAAAATTCCTTAGCAACGATAAAAAATTACTTAGCAACGTTAAAAAAATTCCTTAGCACCGTTAAAAAAATACCTTAGCAACGTTAAAAAAATTATTTAGCAACGTTAGAAAAATTCCTTAGCAACGATAAAAAATTCCATAGCAACGTTAAAAAAAATTCCTTAGCAACGTTAAAAAAATTCCTTAGCAACGATAAAAAATTCCTTAGCAACGTTAAAAAAATTCCACAGCAACGTTAAGAAAATTCCTTAGCAACGTTAAGAAAATTCCTTAGCAACGATAAAAAAATACTTAGCAACGTTAAACAAATTCCTTAGCAACGTTAAAAAAATACCTTAGCAACGTTAAAAAAATTCCATAGCAACGTTAAGAAAATTCCTTCGCAACGTTAAAAAAATTCCTTAGCAACGTTAAAAAAATTCCTTAGCAACGATAAAAAATTCCTTAGCAACGATAAAAAATTCCTTAGCAACGTTAAAAAATTATTTAGTAAGGTTAAAAAAATTCCGTAGAAGGGTCGGCAACCAATCAGAATGCAGGTTTGCCGTAGAGTTTTTGTAGGTTTAATATATTTAGATGTGGTATGTTTCTTCTGGAACTATAATTTCGATACAGATTAATACATCACATTATATAATGCTTGCATCTAATGATTTACGTTTGTTGGCTTAAAACTTTAATTGTGGACCGTCTTTAAGACGGGCTTATAGGCTAGTTTTAAATAAACTCTGAATTTTCTTACACATTTATGATTTCATGATGGAAAAGATATCATGCACAAACCTAATCCAAAATGATATAATTGTGCTTGATTGTACAATATATTCTTAAATTAAGCTTTCTATAGATCAAGTTTTAAGGTAAATAATGTTCAATCCAGGATATACAGATATATGCATAAATTTAACTATGTGGCGAGCCATTTTATTAAGGGGATTAACCTGATATTTAAGTAGGGGTTAAAAAGTGAACTCTTTTGTGGCAAATATCAGTCGGAGCGCAATTCCCCAATGTTGGGGGAGGTGGTGGTCGTTAATGGCACCCCTTTACTTAGCACGCAATTCAGAGTGCATCTACATGCACACTTTTAAAACTGGTAGCATTTTTTTGAGAGTGCAATTTATTATAATTTTTTAAAAAGTTTTTACACTTGCGTTTGTTGCAAGTGCAAAAATAACTCGTCACACTTGACACAAAATAAGGATACATAAATTGGTGTAGTGACATTCCCTAAAATTTTCTCGATAAAGTGTTAAAAAATTAAATTTATGAATCTTTGATTTCCAGCTGCGTCAAATTTTCTACGCCATTTCCACCACTTCTACTGACGTCGCTTATTTCACCTACATGTACGCCAACATTGAGAAAAGTGACTACAAACGGGTCACATCCTACACGCATTCGGCCGTCCATTTTGGCGAGTTCATTTCCGGGTGTGACAGGCCAAGTCCTCATCTCCTTCAACCTCATGGACTTTGAGGAGCTCAATTATCTCAGTTTGGCCGGTGGGGTGGGTGCTGTCTTGTTTTCGATAATGCTCCCACGCGTCCTCAGGGACGTCGAGGAGGAGAAGGCACGCAAAAGCGGTGATCAAAACGATCCGGAACAGCCTATTAATCAAGGTGAAAAAGACGCTGAGAACGATGAGGAAGGTGAGAATTTTCTAAAATTGAATTTATACATTAAGAAACGTAGAATTAATCTTCCATAAGATTCTCAAACCGATTCGACTGAAGAAACCGAATTCAGAGACGGAAATCAAGTACAAGATACGAATTCTTTTTTTGAGGATTCGCGAACTACATTCTATACCCGGTTCGAAACTACACACATAAATATATAATTTTCCAATACCTATATATTGGTAAATAGTTGGAAAAAAATGTTTTGCGAATCCCGCGAACTCAACCCAAGAACATTCATTGAGTTTAGTAGAAACTGAAGTAATTTTTATTGATAAGTTGAAAAGTTTTATTAAAATAAATTTAAGTAACCTGACATTTAATATGATTTGCGAATTGCAAATTTTTTACAAGTTGAAGTTTTAAAAATGCCTATTTAGATAGGCAAATCGGGTTCGGGTCAAACAAGTTTGTATCGAATCGAGCATTCCAAACCCTCAAATCGATCGACTTAAGGCCAGCTTGAGCTAGCGAGTCTCATAAAGCTTCGACCCGACTTACTTCTGAAGTTGCTGCATAATTTTGTAAACGTTGTACAACCATTAATTAATCATTTAATTATTTATCACCGCTAGCCCCATCTTCACTCCCCATTCCGAGGGGGCTCGAGTACAGGAGAAACGTTGGGCTAAAAAAGCGACCCTCAAATATTCAACGGTGGCGCGAAGCCCCCACCCACTGGAAGAACAATCTTCTCTACGCCTATACCAATCGCGACATCGTCAAGTGGTCCGTCTGGTGGGCGACGGCGTACGGGCTCTACATCCAGGTCGACCTTTACGTGGAAGGACTTTGGAAAGAGATTGAGCACCACAGCCATCAAAACGTACGGTGCGGTCCACGCGTCCCATGCAATTATCAGTAAGTTCTGGGAGAATATTTAAGCAATTATTTAGCAGTTTAAAAATTACCAATTAAATTAAACCTTGATGAGTTTGCTAAACTTATTTAGGGAGCGTCTATAAATCACGTGATCGATTTTTGGACAATTTTGACCCCCTCCCCCCCCTTGGTGACCAATGGTGATAAATGCATTACCCCCCCCCCCCCCCCGCGGTCACGTGACAGGCTACACATTAAACCTAAAGTACTGTAAAACGCATAAACCTATTTTCCGCCAAGTGCGATTTTTTGTTCCGGATTTTTTTCGCCAAACTGACGTATTTCGGACAGGACAACACATGGCCCAATCCAATAATAATATTCCTGGGCCTTGTCAAATCCGCAGTTAAATTAAATTTTAATATTATAGAAAGAATTAGTTAATACAAATGAGTAAATACATATTTGTATTAAGTAATTTAACATTCATGACATCTTAAGGACACCTGCATACTCTGATTATCTGAAGAATAATGAGAGTTCTATGAATGTGCACTGAAATTTGGAAGCGTGGTATATATATGCAAACCAGACTCAAGATTGTCAAGTAAAAATTTAAAAATACGCGTGTTACGAATTTAAGATAAAAGAGGTTAACGATTAAGTGAATTACATATTATCAAGTTTATTTACGTTCGAAATTAAAAGAAAAACTTTTCGTGGTATGTCACGTGCCTGCGACAACTACCCCGCCCCCCCCCTTGGTGATAAATCGTGACAAATTTCAGACCCCTCCCCCCTTTGATCGATCACGTTATTTATGGACGCTTTCTTATTCTTAGATAACACGAGTAATTGCATAATTGCATACATAAGCGTGTAATGCCTGTAGAGATACTCGGCGGGAATTGCTGCATGCTTAACGCGGATTAACAGGTCAAGCCGCCTTAATTACGCAGGTCTCTATTCCGGGCTCAACCCCGCTATAGAATGGAATAAATTGGTCCATGTCTCGATCGGTGACTCGTTAAAAGCTAATTTTAGAAAAATTTACGGCTGTGGTAAATATTTTCTGAAAGAAAATTACGTCGGCGACTTTATCAACTCTAACTTAAAATAGCAGACGTAATTCTTTTCTTTCCTTCCAGGTGTCGTTCTCGGTCTAATTATCGGACGGACGAAGAACTGTTGGATCAAGTGGGGTTCTCTCGTCTTCGGCGTGTCCACCGTCCTTCAAGGCGTCGCTTTGTTCGTTATGGCGAAAACGCACGACTTGTACGTCGCATACGGCATGTTCATCCTGTTTCAAGCCTTCTTTCAGGTTTTGGTCATTATTGCAAAGTAAGTATTTTTAATCCGTATCTACATATGAACAAGTAGTTCGTAATTTCTGCAAAATTTCCAACGTCTTTCTGAAAATGTTAAATTCCACAATCTTTCACCAGTCGTGTTTTCGTTTTCCTACACGCAATTATTTATATAGCTCGGCTTGTAGAGCTCACAGTAAGTATTTGCAAAATTCCCAACCTTTGCAAATAAATTACCATTTAAAATTGTATGTCCTCCCTCATACAATAAATTCAATGGTCAGCCGACCTCACGACAAACTTGTTCATCATCCAAAAGTTAAAATAAGCTAAAATACGCTTTTTATAATCACTCGTCCTGTAATAAAACTCATATTGAACAGTGACCAATTTAAATAATTAATAATTTCCAGCATAATTTTCCCTATACAGATCTCAAGTCGCGGAATCTATCCGTGAAAAAAGTGAAGCCTTCATCTTCGGCATGAACACGCTCACGGCGACCCTAATCCATCTCCTTCTCACCATGGCGGTCACCTCGCGGCACGGATTCCACCTCCCAATTCGCGACCAGTACGTCGTCTACGGAGTTTACGCCGTCCTCCTCGGCGTCGGATTCGGTCTCCACGACATTCCAAGCAAGCTATCCAGTAAAACTAGAGCTTGGAGCATCCTTGGGAGAAATAATTTGCACAGAGGCGTAAAAGTTCGGGGGGAAGACGATAAAAATGTTAACGATGAAAACGGCGAGGAAATGCAGACAATTTCCGCAAATATTCCATCCACCATTCCTATGGAAGACTGAAACTTTTTTGCGATAAAGAACTTCTTTAAAAGAAGAGAATTGTATTTTACATATTTATTCTCATATTTACATCACTACTATGAATTAAGTATTAACTCTTCCATAGACATGCATATGTACATACATGCATGCATGTAAATTGGTAATCTCTGATTAAATGAATATTATTACTCATGGGGTTGTACATATTTATATACATACAGACATATAACAATTTCTGTGTCGGGCATAGAAATGCTGAGAAGTTTTGTTAATTACTGTAGCTATTTGACGCAAATAGTTTTTTTAATGAGACGCATATACATAATGTGTATCCACGATAATATCTAATGTAAAATAATGGTTTCTCCACGAACACAGTTCTACATGCACTTGATTGAATAAAAACGCTAAACTCAAATAATTTGACCATACAGAAAACAAAGTTATGTCACGTACACACATCTTCTTATTATTCATTATTTTCGACATTGATAAACAAATTTATATTTAATTACACATCCCATCAGAACTTGTTAAATTGTTGATATAAAAGCAATTGAAATACGAAACAAATTTCATATTTCACTTTACACTCTTGCGAAATTTGTTTCCAAAAATAAGTCGAAGCAATGAAGCATTATTATTTTCTAACATTACTCATTATTTATTTTCGAACTCTTCGAGTTCGAAGTTGTCCGGGTAAGAAAATCTCAAAATCTTTGACTTCAAAATTTCATACTGATTAGGATTTAATATGGAAACTTACATACATTTATTAAAGTTTAAAGTCTTGAATAATATTTAAGGTTTTCCTTCATTCAAAATTCCTTCACTTCGAAATTCAATTTGAATTATTCATTCATTATTCATTCATTCAATGACTAAATCATTAATTCATTTATTGTCCCCTAGGGCAAAAAATGAGTGAATAAAAAACACACTCATTCATTTTGAAATGTTGAATTATGCATTCATTCTTCATTCATTCAATGAATGATTTACTCATTCATTTCGGTATAATTGAATGAATGTGAACAGGTTTTTTTACAGTATAGTATTTTGTATGGTAAATTAATTTTTTCAGACAAGGAAATCCAGTACCCCTTGCCCTACACGGATTTTTACCCATTAATCCCATCTCTCAGTCAATCTTCCACCATTGTTCGAGACTCTTTTCTTCCCTTCAATTTGCTCTACTCGCTCAAACACTCCGTGAAGAAATTGGAAGCAGATTTCAAAAAACATAGAAATGACCACCACGAAAACAATCACCACCTCGTCCTGATAAATCCGTCCAGCCCTCGATACTTGTATCGGGAAGGGATAACCCGACTAAATAACGGATCTAATCCTCTTCCTCTAACATCTATGTACTCTTCAGAAGATCGGGATGCCTCCACGAAACAAATGATGATCCCGACCGACATTTCTTTGCGGGGTGATGGCTCCTCCTGGAAATTCGACGGGTATTTAAGCGGTCTCAATTCGAAATATGAGGTAATTTTTTTAAAGACATTTAAGGCATAATTTTTAAGGCATAATTTTTAAGGAATTTAAATACACGGTGTGCGGAAGACTCCTACCAACGATTCTCCACCCGTGAACTGCAACACATTATCTCCTTGCCGCAATTATCCCCTACCCATGATAACCTACCCGTCATATTTTTTTAGCCAACAAGATAAACATTATTTGACTAATTTTTGAGGTTTTACGTTTTGATTAATTTCCTGAGAATTTATTATTTGACTACTGAGGGTTAATTAAGCTAATTTAACATAATAAATACTTAACCAAAATAGGATAATTAACCTTCAGTAGTCAAATAATAAATTCTCAGGAGATTAATCAAAACATAAAATCTCATAAAAATTAGTCAAATAATAACGTTTATCTTGTTGGCAAGAAAATATCACGGGGAGGAGATAATCGCGGATAGGATATAATGGGTAGCAGTTCATGGGTAGGGGTTCATCGGTAGGAAAGATCCGCAAATTAAATACAGAATGGGCAAGACACATGATATCAAGGGTACTATTCATAGATAATCCTTCCCCAAAACTGGTTGTAATGCCAAGCAATAAATTATAATCTCCAGAAGTATTTCCAGATTTTATTTTGGAGAATTATGGATTTTTTGCCTAGATTTTTATTAATTTTGGGGGATAATTAGAACTCATGTTGTCATATTTCTGAAATATTTGCATATGTACGTCTAAAGATGTTTTATTTATTTATCTGCAGAAAATGTACCACGACTTGGAAAAACTTTTTTCCAAAAGTGTCCCCTTACTCGAGGAAATGTTTGCATCCCTCTTGTCCAAAGATGAGATAAAATTACCGAAAAAGTTGCAGGCAATATTTTCCCTGAAATCTTTAACTCTTCCAAGTACGCAAATCAAGAAAATCGCTGCCAGTAATTGGCACAAAGAAGGCAGGAAAAATGAGAAGATAGTCGCAACAATAATTTACTACTTGGACTTGGACAATATTTCCAAGGCGACTTTATCTTCCCGAGTAAAACGAAGGGATGGCGAGTATACCGATTTTAATCCGATATCCGCAGCCCAAAACAGAATCGTTGTTCTGCCAAATATTTATGAACACAGGGCAGACCCATTTTCTGTCGATGAAGATGGAAAACAAGGACGAAAGCGGACAATCGTCATATTTTTGGTGGACCCAAACGCCCATATTTTATCCACTTCAGAAATTCCAGAACCACAAGATGAGACAGAAATTGGATACCCGGATTTCGAAGAGAGTGATGACGCCGAAGAAACAAAGAGATTCCAGAGATCCCCAAAAGATTGTGATTATCATTACACGATCAATTTGTTTTAAAGAATTATTGATAAATTCAAAATTAACTATGCACAATATACAGTAAATCCAAGAAGTATAGGCAACCCCCCACGCAAGCTAAATAAAATTCGGTATAATTTTGGCATGCATTATCAAAAAGCTTAAACTTGTCGAATTAATTTCGAGACGTATTCCTGTTCTCATTGCGTCAAGGGGAGGTGATCTTCCCAATTTTAGTTCAGCCTGAACTAAAATACTCTTGTTGTAAGCATGACATACATATGTATAAAAACATTGTCTTTACATGATAACGAATTTGGTATCTAATAAATGTGAAACTTGCCATAAAAGTAATTGTTTTCTTTTCTGTTGACGGGATACAAAATCAATTGATTTTTGCCGAAATTATTTTTTTGTGGTCGCTACACATTTGCGCGCTGCATAAACCATCGACTATGACCTTGCCATAATTGATGTATTGATGTCCAAAATATCAAGTTTACGAATATTTTGAGGTAAATAAATGTACGAATTATAAAAATTTTAAAGCTATTTTTGTTTTCCACCGCTTTCGTTTTTATTTGTATCACTGATTAGCCAATAGTTACATAAATAAACCGTAGTAACGTTAGAAGTAGCTCACCCTGTCATAATGATTGAGACAGAACTTTGCACCGAAGGTGCGGAATAAGCCGACAAAATAGATCATAACTCTTGCATATTCTTGCACCCATGGTGAAATAGAAACGTTAGTCGTTTGCACCATTAGTGCAGAATTAGCGACCATCCGGGATCCATAATTTTGAAAACTTGGTCAAAATTGTATGATAATTTCTCCCGGATATTCTGCTCTATTGGTGCGTTTTACGTCCATTCCTCCAATTATTTCGCATCATTTTGTGTTCCCGATTGTTTGATATCAATGGTGCTATTAATTTATTAAAAAATTCGATTCGGTTTGTCTAATACCAATGGTGCGCCTAACTTAATGGTCAAGCGGAGTTTTAATTAGCATCAATTGATACACAAAACTCGTTAACAGACGGACAGACGGACGGACGGACAGACAGACGGACAAGAGGAATTCAATAGCTCTCATGCTACGCAGGGTGAGCTAATAATGTACGTACATGTGTATGGTGGCTTTCAGGTAAATTCATATTTTATTTACATAAATATTTAATATATGGTCTAACATTAAAGAACAAAAAAATTGCTTGGTGAAAATCCACTACTAAATCATGCATTTAACATGTTGAATAATTGATGCAATTTCATATCAAACTCTAAAATAAGTTGCACTCTAACTAATTTCTAGACGAATCGCCACGTAATTTTTTTCTTGCTTCAAGCCGACTGCCGAATCTAGTGTTTTTCTTGATTTGAAAACTAGCTTCAAAAAATTTGTTCATAAAAATATTAATTTTAATTGTTTAGGAATTTGTAGTTAGAGTAGAAATTAGTAATTGTTTTTAGAGTTATGTAGTTTCCCGAATTTGAAATAACCCTATATTCGGGTGGCAAACAAAAAAAGGACAAAACTTTTGGTGCTCGTGAAATTTCAATAATTTCAATCTATTTTTTCGACATTCTGGTTTTGATTATTGCTATTGATGAGTGTCATAATTTTTTTGAATGTGAGTAATAGTTATTTGAATAAAGAGGCAACCTATGTTTCCTTTATTAATTTGCGATTCATAAATATTTCATTGGTGAGAATTTGTCTCCAAATTACTTAGAGTGTACTGATCGATACCTGATACAATTGCACTGCAGTACATAAAACTCAATATTATGCAATATTACTAAATACTCCAACCATATTTTTTTAACATAAATAATCCTTCTGTTATTTCGACACCGTCACCATGTACATTCATTGTTTCCCAACTTTTCACAAAATTTTCATACTCCTCATCATTCTTTTTGAGGTGGTAAAAGCATCAACAATAAATGATGGTTGTATTCTGTACATTCGAGTTGACCAAGGTTATGAAAACAAGCGCTTGGAAGATACATTACTTCTTAAAACTAGTAACCCCAGCAGCCAAAATTCATTGGTTACTTTTAGCCAAAAATTGTCACTACATTCTGCTACATTATTGCCTTTAATTTCCCGACATAACAGTAACCTTGTGGTAACGCTCCTTTCACCCAAGTTATTTATACGGAATGAGAATAGAGTAGATTTTGACTACGAAATCCGAAAGGGTGGATTTGTCCACTTATTGTTACATCTGATTTCCAGACCGGATTTCATCTTTGTTTTAGTCGTTCAAAATAACAAGATTCCACGTGTATTTTGCCTCGACTGTATTAGATTCTCCTTTTCCTTGTACCTCATGGTACTTGAAGCAACTGAATTTAGTTCGTCCGCAAAAATTGAAAACCTCCCAATTCGAAACGTCTACTCGAGACAACTCCAAAAATTCGAACCCATTCAAGACCAACATTTCCTTTTCCGCAATCTCTACAGGACCCCATTATTTCCCACGGACACTGATCACCACAAAATCCCGGTACAAATTAAAATTCCGCCAACCGCGTACCTCGCCAAGTGTCACGTCTTGCTGGATGGACTCCGCGCCCGATACAAGGACAGATCCATTGGTTTATGTGCCAGGTTTGTGGAGGAGGTAGTCTTTCTGGCGAGAACGCTTAACTTTACTACGTACACGGGCTCTGCATATGCCCACATCTCTCTCCACCATTTAACCACGGACATGGCAAGATTCGACTTGGAAACAAGAACCCCCTGGGCCGACGAGGGTCAAATGTTCGTCATATATTGCAGACCGTACTTCCGCCTGCAGACTTCGCTAAGTGTCTGGCTAACCCCGATCGAATTAAATGTATGGATCGGAATGGTCCTGGTTTTCGTAGTTTTTGCTACCGTTTCAAGTTATCCAAACAAAACTAGCAGATTATTAAAGCTTTCCATCTGGGAGAAGTTCACCAATTACGCGACCACCTGGCTATCAGCCTTTTACTTTCTTCTCTCCCTCCTGCTGCGGGAACCAATTAGGTCGTTTTCCTGGGCTCATGTACCATTCGTAGCGGTCATGCTACTCGTCGGCTGGGGATATGAAGGCTGCAGCACAACAATTATTATCGCACCCGCGGCACCCTTCCGGTACGAGAATGTCGGTCAGTTTATAAATTCTTCGCAAAAGGTGGTCCTCTATTCGGCAAATCTTAACCTGCCAGAAGACGTGAATGAGTATGATCCTTTATTCGTTACGGAGTTGAAAAAATTTGGGGTTGCCGGACCAAAAATTTTGAACAGTTCTTTCCATATTATTCGGGGTACGACACATATTTTTCCTAGAATATTCATTCCATGGAAAAATCTGTCAAGTTTAGGCTATTTAGACGGCCGAACTCGAAGCTTCGTTCCGGTTTACATGGAAGCCTTGCAAACAATGATGGATTCACATAAAGTGGAGGAGCAACATGATACCTATAAATGTCTACAATTTCCGTTTGGTCATGCAAAAATGTCTTTTACAAGTTTCAAATTCGCCTTGGCCAGGAAAGCCATGGCTTTGCATAGTTTCTTGTTAGAGAGTGGGATTTCCGGGTATACGGATCGTATCACCTATAATGAGTTCAGGTTGAAGGTGGCCGAAGAGGGAAGGGTGGCAAGGAAAATTATGAAGAATTCTTCTGGGGGAGATCACAAATTCATTCTATTGAAGCATTTGCGTTCAATATTTCAATTGTATTTCGCCTTCTTATCTGTATTGATTGTTGGTTTTGTAGTAGAAAAGTGGGTGTGGTATGGCGATATACTTATTTTTTGTAAGGTTGTAGCAACAAGGATGAAATTTGGCATTAAAAACCTCAAGTTAGTTAAGATTAATAAAGTTATGCAGGAAGATGGAACTAAATTTGATTCTTACTTATGCCAATGAGCAATAAATGAAGATTATTCACTTCAAATTAACAACTAATTAATTAATTACTTTTTAAAATGAGGGGTTTATTTGAATGGGTGTTTTGCACAATGGTGAGGAAGAAAGGTGGCCCAGATTTCTACATTGTCTACATAATAATTAAGTTTTGACTAACATACCCAACTAACAATGAGTACGCATCAAGTGATTCTCTCCGATTTTGACCACAATAATTTTAACTGGTTTACATAGGCACAGTAACAAATGCCCTTATAATATAATATGCACTTTATTGAATCTTTTGTAGCTGATTGTGAACTTCCTAATAAATTTTCCGCAAAAATTAGACCACGGCAACTTTAAGGTGAATGTTTACCCAGTTTCAAAAGTGAAAAAGGATCTGTTCTCAGATTTACATATTATAAAAATTCTTAATATAAGATTAAAATTTGAACTTTTGAAAGTTTTTGAGATACATACTTATACAAATATCGTCGTACTAATTCTAAAAAGGCCTAAGTGCAGAAAATAATAAATTTTAGAAAGGCCTATGTGCAGTCAATGTTTAATTTTAAAAAGGCCTAAGTGCACAATAAAAACTAGAAAAAGGCCTAACTGCAATTCCAAAATTATAAATGGTTAATTAATTATGTAAAATCATACTGTAACCTGAAATGTGAGTATAATATTCGGACGAGGCCAGTCCTGATATAATACTTGAATTTCAAAACCACACCCTCGAGGGGTGTGGTTCTGCTGACCTAAATTTGCTTAATAAAATCCTAGCGTGCAATATGTCGTATTACTCAAATTAATGAGGCAATTCCAAAAAGAATATTACAAATTTGAAAAACACACCCCCAGGGGGTGTGGTCATCGGCATCAAATTTAATTTTAAAAAATCCTGGCATGTGATACTTCATTTTTATCAGCCCAATAAAGCAATCCGAAAGGAATATTGCACATTTGAAAAACACACCCCCAGGGGGTGTGGTCATCGGCATCAAATTTAATTTTAAAAAAGCCTGGCATGTGATACTTCATTTTTATCCGCCAAACAAATCAATCTGAAAAACTTGGTGGTGCGTGGTTCCTGACGCCTAAATAAAGTTAATAACATCCTGTAATATGCCATGCCACTTATCTTTGCCCGATTACGAAATTGTGGCAGAGTCTACAGCAATTGAAGAACCTCCCCTCTGTAGGAGAGTGTTCTTTACACCTACCTACATAAATTTAGCTGAATACAGCCATCGAAGGCATGAAGTGTGTGTTTAAATGTGTAATTAAAACAAGTTCAAAAACAAAACTGCATTTAGAATTATAAACAAGAACTATTTACTATTCCACATCATGACAGTGTTGCGAAGAATGAACAGGGGAAGCAGTTTCGTAGTTTTCAGGAGGAAATGCTTATGAAATTTTATTTCAGTCGTGTGTTGCAAATGGCAACCTAAAA